TGCACTTTAAGAAAAGATTTACTCGTAAGACTAACCTTTGATTTATTATTACCGGTAAGACTAACCATAGAGTAAAACAGAATCTGTAAATTAAGCAAAGTTTCATATTTGTCAATGTAATATATATAAGAGATTTATAAGAGATAGGTTTCGCATCCACTTTTATTAGATTTTATATAAAATATACCATCGAAAACATTTGTGCTTATTACTAAACTGTATTAAATACTAGGTATAGAAAGACAAGACAGCTGCGTTTGACAAAAAATCAAAACTTGGGTAAACTAAAATGTTTGTTTATAAAGATGTGTTTAAGTTCATTAACAGTACCTGGAGATATCGAAATAATATTCAATTTCTAGAGAATAAATCACAGACACACATTCTTTTCGTAATGACGCAATTTCGATTCACTTATAGAATCCCTTTTTAAAGTACATATATATTTCAATACGCATACGCGTGTATATAACACAAATAAAATGGATTATAATAACAAAATCTTTAAAATAAATTGTGTTATAAATTTATTTAATATATAAGTTTTATCACATAGTTCAGTGGTCAAAAATTGAAACCTTATCGACAAAACAGAAAATGCTGCAGGCTTTGTTTTATTGAAAGCGTTTTTGTTTGGTTTGGTTTGATGGCGCACCAAACCTACTAAGGCCATATGGCGCCGGAAAAGAAAAGACCGAGTGTTACATAAGGCAAACTCAACTTCACTTGATGGATACAAGAGATGCATTAAACCCATTTTGCCGCCTCTTACGATCATGCAGGGATAACCATCAGCTGCAGTTCTTATGCCTAAACCCAAAAAGACAACGCATCAGCCACAAGAGAATTAATCAACATTTAAATAACCTTAGTAATATATACTGATGACACATATATTGTCAAACATGTTAAGCACAATTTAGGAATTAATTTTGAATAACACCAAAGATAGTAAATATTTCCTTTTATTTGACATAAATATGAACAGTAGTTTGAACCTATACAAATAATTGCCAGCCCTTAATTGCATTAGCTAAACCTCTCAGTATTGCTTTATACTCGAAAGTATCACTGATATAATATCACTCTGTATACGTTCGATTTGCAGCTCACTAAAGACACTCACGTTACGTCAGACAATGAGTGATAGTGAAACATTAGACCGATGCGCAGGAGAGTACGCTCTATCGAAAAGCCTTGATACACGCACTTGCAGTTGTAATTTATGGGTTTTTACATTGTGAACTGTCGTCAAAGCAGAAATAAGAGAAGAAAATGTGAAAATCATTATTGCATGTTTAACAGACATACCAAAGGTTAACATAATTGAATAACAGTATATATATTCAGTTTTAGGTGGAATTTCATTAGTCGGGTAGTAAATTTTGTCCGGTAAACAAAAATTAATATTTGTTTTATATGCATTTTATATGTATTCATTTATTTTCTAATTAACTTCATGGCCAAAAAGTATCTGTATATGTCTATTCTTCAATGTGTCTTCCTTTCACAGCATAATGACTGCCTGTCACAGCATAATGACTGCCTTTCACAGCATAATGACTGCCTTTCACAGCAAAATGACTGCCTTTCACAGCATAATGACTGCCTTTCACAGCATAATGACTGCCTTGTCACAGCATAATGACTACCTTTCACAGCATAATGACTGCCTTTCACAGCATAATGACTGCCTTTCACAGCATAATGACTGCCTGTCACAGCATAATGACTACCTTTCACAGCAAAATGACTGCCTTTCACAGCATAATGACTGCCTTTCACAGCATAATGACTGCCTGTCACAGCATAATGACTGCCTTTCACAGCATAATGACTGCCTTTCACAGCATAATGACTGCCTGTCACAGCATAATGACTGCCTTTCATAGCATAATGACTGCCTGTCACAGCATAATGACTGCCTGTCACAGCATAATGACTGAACAGGAATAAGTAATAAACAAATAAACGTTATAACATATAATGTTATAACATCAAAAGTTTATTGGCAAACCGACAATGGACATTGTAAGTGGCCATTTATACTCATACATGATGAGCAATGCCATAGAGCATTGATATAAATATAAACATGTGAACAGTTCTGATATAAAATGAACATATAAACAATTCTGAGACTTATAAAATTAAATCAAATATTAAGAAATATAGTGTAAATATATTTAATTAATAAACATGTATTAGCTTAGCAGCTGTAAGGAAATTCAGTTAATAAGCTCATCTTTAACTTTTTCTATCTTTTACTTGTTGACATTTTAAGCTTTTTACAAATATGTTTCTTTGGCTATGTGGTATAACATAGGTCTGTCTGTGTTCTTAAATAATCTTATTTATTGCAACACTTAAACGATATTTAGAATTATATACATTCTGTCATGTGAACGTATTCGTTTTTCTTTATTTTGGTCTTAAACGTGTAAGTGATTTATGTTCGCATCATTATTATTGAAAAAAAATCTTCAGATTCTAAAATTTGTTTAATATACAATAGTTGTGTAGTTAAGGCGATGTATTACTTGTATGGTGAAAATATTGGATACACTAGTCCCTTTTTTGTTAACTTAAGGAATACTTTTTTCCTTTTAGATTGCAAGTTTATTTGGTCGGTAGTAAAAAAACTCAGCAAACTATATGAGATACATAAAAAACAGTTCCGATCAATAAATATGGTTTTAGTCCCCTTCCGGTTTACTGGAGAGGACTTTGGGTTTACCTACCGTCCGTCCGTCTATCCGCCTGTCAGTCCGTTCGTCCGTAAAACTGGATCCCGCGATAAGGCAAAAAGAACTGAAAAATATTTTTATGGAACTTGATATAAAGAAAGATGGTAATATAGAGATAAGCACGTCTTTCTCATTTCTTCCTTTGTTGAAAATGTTGAAAATTGTGATTGCTTTGGCAAAAAATAGACTAAAATATGGGAAATGTAACACATGAACTTGATCCAGTGATAATGCAAAAAGTACTGAAACACTATTTATGAAACTTGATATATGAGTAGATGGCAGTCTGGAGATTATGCACGTCTTTTTATTTTCTTCCTATGTTGAAAATTCTGGTTGCTTTGGCAACAATTAGACTAAAAATATGATAAATTTAACACATAAACTGTATTAAGTGTTAATGCAAAAAGTACTGAAAATATTTTTATGAAACTTGAAATATGTGTAGATGGCAGAATAGAAATTATGCATGTATTTTTCCTTTCTTCCTATGTTGAATAAATTGGTTGCTATGGCAACAAATAGGCTTAAAACATGGCAACTATAACAACATTTGTCATAAGTAAAAACAAATGATTTTCTTATGTAACTTAAAGTATGGATAGATGGCAGTATGGAAATTATACACATCATTTTAATATTGACTATAAGGAGTACATTGTCATGATTACCAAACGTCGGCTTAACCTCGTTAAGATTTCTGATTCTAGGTTTTATGCTTTTTCATTAAAAGTTCTTTATATCTTGACGTATTTACCTTAAACTTCAAATATATGTTTCTGGTCATCAACCACATTATATGTGACAAGGTTTACAACTCTAGTACACAAATTATCAAAATTACCTCCCTTGAACTTAGAATTTTCATGAAAAAATGTTTTTGTTTTAATAACTTCTTTATTTCTTAATGTATCTACTTCAAACTTTATATCTATATAATATTGTTATTATCACTCAGATCATTGGTGAGAAGGTTCAATACTCAAACAAGACTATTTCTAGAATTATGCCCCCCTTGATTTTAGGCTTTTTCCGAGAAAATGGTATTTTTTACTCAAACTTCTTCATTCCTTATAGGACAAGGTTTATAAATCTAGAATCCATATTTCCAGAATTATCTCCTCCTTAAACTTAAATTTTTCTTATTCATTCTTTAAATTTCTTATTTTTTCATTGATTTACTTCAAATTCAAATAAACATTCATTATCAACACTTACACTATATATATTTTTAATCTTTGTACATGTTAATGGTATATTTGAAAATTGTTATTTTTCACTTTTTCTTCTTTGTGACTATAAATGGTATCTTTAAATATGACAATGTTCATAAGTCTAGCATCTTTATTTTCAAGAGTTATCTCCTCTTTAAGAATTTTGTTTTTAAAAATGTAATATTTTGGTAATTAACAGGGATGTTTAATTAAAAAAATAAAAAAATGTCAAAAAACAACAATTTTTCACCAAAATTCGGTGTTAGGACATGTGTTAAAATGGAAAATCTAGGTTCTGTGTTATTCCAAGGTTTTTCATAATTTTTGTTAACCTTTTCCCGCGTGTTTCGACGGCTTTTATGTCTAAACCCAAAAAGACAACGCATCAGCCACAAGAGAATTAATCAACATTTAAATAACCTTAGTAATATATACTGATGACACATATATTGTCAAACATGTTAAGCACAATTTAGGAATTAATTTTGAATAACACCAAAGATAGTAAATATTTCCTTTTATTTGACATAAATATGAACAGTAGTTTGAACCTATACAAATAATTGCCAGCCCTTAATTGCATTAGCTAAACCTCTCAGTATTGCTTTATACTCGAAAGTATCACTGATATAATATCACTCTGTATACGTTCGATTTGCAGCTCACTAAAGACACTCACGTTACGTCAGACAATGAGTGATAGTGAAACATTAGACCGATGCGCAGGAGAGTACGCTCTATCGAAAAGCCTTGATACACGCACTTGCAGTTGTAATTTATGGGTTTTTACATTGTGAACTGTCGTCAAAGCAGAAATAAGAGAAGAAAATGTGAAAATCATTATTGCATGTTTAACAGACATACCAAAGGTTAACATAATTGAATAACAGTAATATATATTCAGTTTTAGGTGGAATTTCATTAGTCGGGTAGTAAATTTTGTCCGGTAAACAAAAATTAATATTTGTTTTATATGCATTTTATATGTATTCATTTATTTTCTAATTAACTTTCATGGCCAAAAAGTATCTGTATATGTCTATTCTTCAATGTGTCTTCCTTTCACAGCATAATGACTGCCTGTCACAGCATAATGACTGCCTTTCACAGCATAATGACTGCCTTTCACAGCAAAATGACTGCCTTTCACAGCATAATGACTGCCTTTCACAGCATAATGACTGCCTGTCACAGCATAATGACTACCTTTCACAGCATAATGACTGCCTTTCACAGCATAATGACTGCCTTTCACAGCATAATGACTGCCTGTCACAGCATAATGACTACCTTTCACAGCAAAATGACTGCCTTTCACAGCATAATGACTGCCTTTCACAGCATAATGACTGCCTGTCACAGCATAATGACTGCCTTTCACAGCATAACGACTGCCTTTCACAGCATAATGACTGCCTGTCACAGCATAATGACTACCTTTCACAGCATAATGACTGCCTTTCACAGCATAATGACTGCCTTTCACAGCATAATGACTGCCTGTCACAGCATAATGACTGCCTTTCACAGCATAACGACTGCCTTTCACAGCATAATGACTGCCTGTCACAGCATAATGACTGCCTTTCATAGCATAATGACTGCCTGTCACAGCATAATGACTGCCTGTCACAGCATAATGACTGAACAGGAATAAGTAATAAACAAATAAAACGTTATAACATATAATGTTATAACATCAAAAGTTTATTGGCAAACCGACAATGGACATTGTAAGTGGCCATTTATACTCATACATGATGAGCAATGCCATAGAGCATTGATATAAATATAAACATGTGAACAGTTCTGATATAAAATGAACATATAAACAATTCTGAGACTTATAAAATTAAATCAAATATTAAGAAATATAGTGTAAATATATTTAATTAATAAACATGTATTAGCTTAGCAGCTGTAAGGAAATTCAGTTAATAAGCTCATCTTTAACTTTTTCTATCTTTTACTTGTTGACATTTTAAGCTTTTTACAAATATGTTTCTTTGGCTATGTGGTATAACATAGGTCTGTCTGTGTTCTTAAATAATCTTATTTATTGCAACACTTAAACGATATTTAGAATTATATACATTCTGTCATGCGAACGTATTCGTTTTTCTTTATTTTGGTCTAAAACCTGTAAGTTATTTATGGCTTCTGCATTATTATTATTATTATTGAAAAAATGTGTTTTATATACAAAAGTTGTGTAAGTAAGGCGGTGTATAATTTGTATGGTGCAAATATTGGATACACTAGTCCTGATTTTTGTTAACTTAAGGGCCACTTTTTTTCCTTTTAGATAGCAAGTTTATTTGGACGTAGTAAAAATAACAGTTTAACCGGGGGGGGGGGGGTGGGGGCTTTAGGTTTACCCGTCTATCCGTCCGTCTGTCCGTTCGTCCGCAAAAATTGATCCCGCGATAACGCAAAAAAGAACTGAAATTATTTTTATGAAACTTGATATAAAGATAGACGGCAGTATGGAGATTATGCACGTCGTTTTCTTTTCTTCCTATATTGAAAATTCTGGTTGCTTTGGCAACAAATAGACTGAAAATATGGCAAATTTAATACATGAACTGGATTAAGTGTTAATGCAAAAAGTACTAAAAATCTTTTTTATGAAACTTGAAATATGTGCAGATGGCAGTATGGAGATTATGCACATAGTTTTCTTTTCATCCTATGTTGGATAAATTAGTTGCTATGGCAACAAATAGGCTTCAAACATGGCAAATATAACAACATTTGTGTTTAGTAAAAAAACTGATTTTTTATGTAACTGAAAGTATGGATAGATGACAGTTTGGAAATTATACACATCATTTTAATCTTTACTATAAGGAGTATATTGTCATGATTACTAAACGTCGGCTAAACCTCGTCAAGATTTCTGATTCTAGTATTTATGCTTTTTCACTAAAAATTCTATATTTATTAACGTTTTTACTTCAAACTTCAAATATAAGCTTCTGGTCATCAACCTTATCATAACTGAAAAGGTTTACAACTCTAGCACACAAATTATCAAAATTATCTTCCTTGAAACTTATAATTTTCTTGAAAAAATGTTTTGTTTTTTAACAACTTCTTTATTTCTTAATGTACAAACTTCATATATGTTTTTATTATCACTCAAATCATTGGTGAGAAGGTTCAATACTCTAGCAAAGCTTTTTTTTTTAGAATCATGCCCCCCCCCCCCCCCCCTTGAACTTAGATTATTTTTGAAAAAAAATTGGTATTTTTTACTCCAATTTTTTATTTTTCATCTTTGCTACTATACATGTTAATGGTATATTTAAGTCTAGCATCTTTATTTCAAAAGTTATCTCCTCTTCAAGAATTTTGCTTTTAAAAATGTTATATTATGGTAACAGGGATGTTTAAAAATTAACTTTAGAGTCCGTCTGTCTGTCTGTCTGTTCATAAAAACTGTTTAAAAAGTTAAAACATAAGTTATACTTATTCATCCTGAAAAAACTTGACCTTTTGATTATCTATTGTATAAGCATGATTTTCTTACTAGGTAGGGAAACTTAACACATTACTATGATGCAGACAAACTAAGAACTCAAAAGATTTCATTCATGTCATTCATTCATTTAATTGCAGAACTGAATGGCCAATGACCCTTCAGAATGTTGCTGGGGTTCTCATCGATAGGGGTCTTATGGATTGCTTGCAATACTATGATAATTGCTTGTTTATATTAGACATAATAAATTAACTTAAAGGTTTCGAGGCCACAATAATCACATTCCATTAGTCCAGGCCATTTCCATGCTTGCTTTTTGTGCTATTACTTTCTGGATTATTCTCAAAATATATAAATCAATGTTACAAGTTAATATTGCTTCAGACTATATTTAAAAGAAAACAATCATTTATTACAGTACAGTTGAAGATAATATGTAATATCGGGTAATATCGATATAAAATTAAGTAAATTTGTTGTCACGTGAGAGGGTGTTAATTGTAACGTCAGAAACACTGTGACACTCATTAGGTTGATACCAGTATGGAAACTCCTTTACATACTTATTAGGCTTGTTACCCATTTAATATAATTTCAGTATAATAAACTGTAATAAATGTTCATTACGACATTGATTCGTGTATGGTTATCTTGAAATAGAAAATTTCATAGCAAACTGTTTCTATTATTCTTTAATTGTTTCATCGGTTTCTTAGATTTGATAAATGCAGAATGGCTGTTGTTTTACTATTGACCTAAGAATAAAACCGATCGTTCGCTTGGTTTACAATGTTGTCATTTATATTTAATTGTTTTCTTATCTGTCTGATACAACGTGGACAATCTTCGTTTTGTATGTAAATATGTAGATTAAGTTGTTGACATTTAAATGTTTTCTCAGCAAAATATTTCATTTGCATTTACTTGCTTAAATCACGTTTCATCCTTTGTTGACACAATTCATTTTTGAGACATGTGTTTGTTTGACTGTAACATTTTTGCAATACGATAAATGTCCTTCCCAACCATGTAGGCCACTAAAGTTATGAGTATATGTAGCTTGACATCAAACAAATTGCAACACAAGCTTTCTTTAGTATTTTGCAATCAATATATATGCATGAACCTTGTAGTAAAACCCTAAAAAAATATACCTTCGGAAACTTGACTTTTTGCAGGTAGTTTACGTGTACCTGTCCAGGCATAAAAATCGTAATATAATATTGTAATATGTTTAATATGTGGCGACTGTCTTGTCTTTCTCTGTTATAAATTGGTAGTTTTTTAGCCAGCATGTATTGGTGTTCATAAAAATAGAATTTGCAATGAATAATAACAGGTTTGGCCTCTTTTTTATTATTTATTCACTTGTGACACACAAGATTATTACCTTACCCACTCATGATAATAATGCAAAACGTCCAAATTGCATTATCTTAAAAATACCTAATATTTTGAATTGAAAAGAGGTTCAAATAACATTTATATCACATAAGCGTATATAAATTAAGAAACATAATCACTAAAGATATTTTAAAAGCAAAATGTAACATACGTTACATCAAATACATTGACATTATTCTAGCATTTTTCAACTATTTTTGAAAAATTTATGAAAATAAAGAAAACAAACTTAGTTATTTTTCCTAAAATCTGTAGAAACAAACAATGCACCTGGTAATATACTCAATTTCTGAAAGTAACTCGTTATTTAGTCTTTTGCTGTGTCATTTAACATATTTGTACGTTACCAAAGTCTCATCCATCCAAATATTACCCATACATGTTATGCAAACTATCATTTTTAACATGATTTAGTAGAAATAACTTCATTTATCATCGCCAGTATTGTCCAACTATCTATATTGCACAACACTTAAGCTAGTGAAGAATAAATGCTGAAAATGAGCTGTACTTATGTCTTAAGTAATGGTTCAAAATTAGAATTTTTTATGTACAAAATGCCAATTTTATGTCATGTATCATGTAGCTTGCTTTAAAAAAATATTTCACCTTTGAAATTGAATGCCATCACATCTTGTTTAACCTATTTATGTTTTCTTCCTTATTATATAAAGAGATATTTAAAAGTGATCTCCACATCTCTATGTCTCTCACAATGCTCATTAGTTCGACTACACCTAGTCACATTTAAAAAAAAGGTTATCCATTCAATAACTTTCAAATTATTGCATTGGTTAAAAAGCTTTCTCCTACTGTTTTCGATGGTCTTTTCACTAGATTTGCAAATCGTGTTTTTGCACTTTCATGAAAAGAACGTCTTTAAATGACTGTTAATGTTAAAACAATGGTGGTAACTTATTTTAGCTGTCAGGAGGCCATTTAATTACGCCTTTGATTCTTCCTAGGACCTTACTTCACGCTTAAAGTGTCTTGTTTTACACAAAGATTTGATTTAAACATGAAAGTCGAAGGTTTCAACTTTACTGACAACATCGCCACGAAATTTATGTTCTTTCTGCAACTTACACAGGTAGTGTCTTAAATAAATATACGTTCAACATTTTATTCTTGTTTCTGAACTTCAAATCATATTATGGTCTCTTGCAGTTTTCTCTTCTCGTCGTAATGATAACAATACTCTTTTCTATCATTTCGGCTTTACATCCAGTCATCTAAAATGGAATTTAAAAGAGATTACAAAAAACATTGTCTGGTCTTTAAAAAATAATACTATTCATCAAATAAATTTTACCCAAAAAGTGGAGTTCTCTTCAGAGAAATGCAAAAATTTGGGTGTACTATAGAGCAAACGTATGTTCAACGTCAAATACAGCTTTCATGATCACAGACTCAATCAAACCATGCCTGTAATTTTCAGTAAATTTGCTTTTTTTATTTGTTTGGGTCGTCAGAACAAACAAATAATGGTAGCGAAATTTCAGAGTCTAATGCTGTTAATTGCAAATGCCGAAAGTAGTCCGCTTTTTTGAAGCGGTTTCTTCCCTTTATATGTAACACTTAGTCAAAAATTCAGGGGAAATCACTGCGTAAATATGGTCACATGGCAGGCGCATTAATTTTCAAGCAAAATAATTCCCGAATGGTCGACGATTTCTAATATTGTTTTATTCTTTATAGATATACATGCTTATAGTAAGCGCCATGATTATTTACACAAGTGTTAGACAACAGTTA